AGTCCTCTCCGGTGACCAGCCACATAAAAATTCATCTTTGCAAGTGGTCGCCTTAAAGAGGTGATGCTCAATACCAATAGATACTCACGTTCTCAGAGATGTTTTATCTTTAAAGTGGTCGTCTTAGGAGATTGCATACGGAAACTCTCTAAGCTAACCAGACACACTGCTGAAGGTTGTGGAATGGTCGCCTTACAGAGGGAAATCGTCCAAAGTATACTTATGTTTCAGAAATACTGGTTCTTCAGAGGGTCGTTTAGGAGGGGTTTTTGCTAGTTCTCTGAATACACACACATAAGCACTACTTTCTGATATTACAATAAACCCGTATCAACCAACATCTCTTTAACGCGACAAGTTCATTACATCGCAAAACTTTTCTCTCTGTTAACGCTGACATAAAGCCCCCTCCTCCCCCACTCTCAGAAGTTTCCCACACAGCAATATGGCGCGCTCTAGTTTTTGTTGTGCGATGGTGGTGTTATTTTCTTCGTGTTGTAGTAATGCAATATATTATTTACTAGATTTACTGTATTACAAATTTACTATGTTTTACTGTTTATAATAATAAAAATACCAGCACTGACTATGATATACGCAAAGCCATGCACGTGTAATCGTTTCTAAGTCGAGAGAACATTGCTGATAACGACTAGTTGTGAATGGAGTTTCTGAGCTGAAAATTGATTTTCCATGTTCTTTTATCTGAAAACAATGTGCTAAGACGAAAGTGAAATTTCAGACTTGATAATTTGTTTAGTGTGCAGATGCAGAAATAGTTTTGCATTCTACTGAAATGTATTTGGAAAATTTTTTTTTTGATTACAGTTTAGAAATACATTTTTAAGCTTGTTCATGTAGATGCTTTATCATTTGAATTTAGGACTAATAAATTTGAGGCATACCTTACTAAAAATGATCTTGCATGATTCATTTTGAATTTTTTCGACTAATGTGATGTGGCCGAGAAAAAGAATTTTTTTTTTGTTTTAAAAAGTACTATTATATTTCGTGCGCAAAAAAGGTAGTTTTTAATGAAATAAACATTGAGTATTTAATGTGTTTTTACTTATTGAATGGATAGACGACATACACGCTTAAGGAATCTTTTTCCACTACTAAAATTATTGAAAATTTAGATGATTAGTACCATTGTTTTTTTTTTTGGTCTATTTTTCTTTACAAGTATGAGACTAGAACCACATTTTTACATTAAATTTTTGATATTTTTAAAACACAATAATCATTTTATGATACTTTATTTTCATTATTATTATTTGATGAAGAAAATTTCAATGTGTTTTTCATAAATTGCTTTGAAATAGAAAATAAGATTTATGTAATAAATGTACTAGTCTGGGAGTATAAAATGAATATTTATTTGAAAAAAATACATTATAGAAACCCATATAGGGTTATTTTCTTAATGACCACGTCTGAATGGCACTTTGTCACATATTAAATACAGGACTTAATGATTTTGCAGAAGTATGAAGTTTTTACGAGACATTTAAAACCAAAGCTTTTCGATCTGATCTATAAGGGCATGTTATACATTGCTTTCAATATATAGAGTAATTTTTAAACTTATTTTCGGAAGCACTCCACGGGAATCCGTGTTCTCTGCGGATGAAACCCAACAATAAATCTTCTGTACACTATACAATGCAGTTAAATTACTCATTCAATGAAGCGAATCGCTCATTGTTTACAAAAGTTATTATTGCTAATCTCCTATATCAATTTCTTTGGCATTGTAATTTCAGAAATGCTCAGCATGAGGTATTTTATATTATATAATCTACTGTCAAAACACAGCTACCTTTTCGTATTTAATTTACTATTAGAATTTTTATGGTTCAAATAATATTCCATACATTATTTCAGTATTCTTTCTACAATGAAATCTAAATAACTGCACCTAAAACACTGACTCAATTATTCCAATAATGCATCACTTTATTAAATTATGTTCGAGATGATATATGAAAACTTGTAATAATAATTATTATATATATAGATAAATGGTATTTTTATATATTTTCAGGTAAATGCAGAATCGCCCCTTTTTATGGCACAAAAGTAAAGGAATTGGATTTTTGTCAATTCATTTGACTTTGAGTAAATCGGTAATGTGTACATAATAGTCAAGGAGTCACAATGGCATTTTTGTGCAATTCTGAGTGTTTTTTTAATGAAATAGGTCGATGTTAATGGATACTATAGTGCAATTTTTAAAAACATGCCAGCAGTGGCGATTCTACATTCCCCATTTTTCTATAGAATTAGTTTCATAAATTAGTTATTTAGTATTTATGTGTATATGAGTATATCTACTATTCCATAGATTAATTTTTACAGTACGAAAGTTGATCTTTTTTACATCAAGAACTACATATATAAAAACCCCTTATGTTTAGATTTTATTTATGTAAAATCTGTGGAAGATATATAGCACTAAAAGTGAGATACGGAATAAACATTATTGCTATGAGATATTTCTAATTCCCAAACTGTGCATTGAAATTGGTATTTGTTAAACTTTAAATTTTTTAACAATTCATTTTGTTACACTATAATTTATTATTTTGGGTACATTAAGTTTATTATGTTATCTTCATGTTTCATTTATCTTTTGAGAGATACAGGTAACATTCAAGTATTTAATAAGGGTCGACACGTGTTTATATTTATTATTTCTTCACTACATATATTCTTGGATTCATCCTTTCTTCCCGCAAACATCTATGTGTATGCCTGTCATAATAAGCTCAGGATGTACTATCATTGGTAAGCGAGCTTTAAGGGGATAGCAAGTATGCTAAATTTGAAACTCTATGTTTTCTAATTTGCAGTCCCGTATCTTTTTGCTTGCTTGTTAATAGTTCTTTCCTGAAAATTTGGGTTTCTTCAATTTGTTTTTTAATTGTTTAGTGCATTGTAGGTAACTTAAAATTTAAGCAATGCTAGAAGTACCATCCTTTGGCAATACATTTCTCATTAGGTATCAAATGTTAAACAAGCTGATTGATTAAATACAATGTTTTAATTTCCCAATTAAAGAACTGAAATACAAATATATGCAGTGAGGTACAGTATTATATGTATATATTTATAATGAAATAAATAATACATTATAGTCAAAGTAGATTCCAACCATCAAATGAAATGATATTATCTATATGTAATAGATTCTGTAGTCGAATACAAAAGTTGAATCCGTATGAACAGCAAGAATTTTGATGGCTTAGAGATGTTGAAACTCCAATCCACAATAAGAAGAATTTGCATCAAGGTGATAAATTCAACTTTTCTTCAGCAATATGTGCAGACCACAACAAGTTGGCATTATTTATGCCTATTCCAAAAATTAACATTTTTGATAAATGTGTAGTAAGAAACAAGGAGCAGTCGACTGCAATCCAGCTATACAAAGCGTAGAAAGCAATGCGTTATGTTAGGGTGAAATCTTAATAGACCGAGTAATTTTGGTTCTCGATGCATTTTTACTCATACTTGATATTAAATACTGTGTAAATTACTATGGCTGTTTGAGTTTTAGTTTCTTTTACAACATCAAATTATGTAAGAGTCATATGACATGAATTAATCTCGAAATGATGCAGTGCAGAAAGATTACTGTTTTTAGAACGAGAAGGAAAATTAATTTTACGCTGCTAATTTAATCTCTTTGCATATTCCTTATTTTTCTTACACATAGAATGTACATATATCATTCGATGGTTGTGAATCATGACTTTGGTTATTATCTTTCCATTCATTTATTTTCAGAATTATATAAAGGTAGTTTAAAATTTTGTAAAGAGAATTGATACAAATATTTGTAATATGTTTATAGATATTGACGTGCATTAAGAAGGACGGGCTCGTAGGCTTCTAGATATTTTAAAATTTTATTTATTCGCATTGAGTTTTATTTAAAATTACTTTACATGCTTTCTCGCAATTTAGTTCTGTACATTTCATCAGTGCTAATTATGTACTATCTGCTGGTTTATGTTTTTATGGAAATTTGCTTTACATTTCTATTTTTATGTATTGTTTTTATAGGGATTCTGTATACGGATACCCGTTCTATGTAACGATTTCTATGTATGGATACTCCACTATGGTATAATGCTATTGGTTCTGTTTATGGGTTTTTGTTTACTGTTTTGGCAGCGATTTTTCCAAGAGGTACCTTATGGGTCTGTGTATTTTGTGTGTAGTGGTTTTACAGGATTTGGTGTATGGGTCCTGTATAGGTGTACATGCTTTTGTTTACTGGTTTTTACAAGGCATAGACCTACGGAATATCCATTTTTTTTAATGGAAATTTGGCCAATGGATATGCATATTAAGTTTTGATTTTTGGCTATGGGTTTTTACTGGGATTTTGTTTATAGTGCCTACAGTTTTTGGCCTACAGGTACCTATACAGCCGTGCAGGTTTCTTTCTATGGGTTTTTACGGGTATTCGGCCTATGGGTACCCGTACAATCGTACGGGTTTCTTTTTATGGGTTTTTAAGGGAATTTGGACTACGGGTACCCGTACAAACGTACGTGTTTCTTGTTATGGGTTTTTACGGTTATTTGGCCTACGGGTACCCGTACAGTTTTCTTTCTATGTTTTACGGGGATACGGTACCGTAGGTACCAAATTCCCCGTAAAAAAATTTTATGGGTTTCTACGGGGCATTTTTAGCAGGGCCCTGCTGTACGTTTTAAAAGATATCTTTTAAAACGCACAAATATACTTCTACTCTACTCTAACAAATAATTTGCATTCCTTGATCAGCATTATCAAGGATTCTTTTCTGCTGCACATAACCCTTTCAAAACCATTATATGGATTCAGGCTACTAAAAGGCTCATATACATTCATTGATAAAATTATATGATTATAACTATTCTGACCTTATTTAGAGATGAAAAACAAGTTTCTCCTACTGGTTATCTATGACTTGCTTCAGACATCTTTGATGCCATACACATTTGCTTTTGAAGATTATTTAAATCTGTATGGTCAAACAGCCCCCTTCTTTTTACTATCAAATGATTTGTTTCTTGGTTAATTCATAATCCTTTAGCAATTTTCTTATCAAAACCTAGTAATTTAATTCAGTAACAACAATTACTATAAAATTTCAAATTAACAACAGGTCATCATATCAGTTGAGAAATATTGAAATCAATCCCAGGAAGTTCAGATGAAGTACAGTTTTTAGCTAAAATCTTTAAGCATTAATGATAAAAGTGAAATAGCAATTTCTGTACTGATTTTGAATTACATATAATTTTTAAAGGCAACTTACCAAATGCCAATAAAGGTTCAAATTTATTTCTTTACAAACTATAGGGTCATAGCACTCTGTGCGAAATAAGCTGCAATAGAAGAAAAATTTATATTAGAGATATTAAATTTTAAAATCAAATTATAATCTTAAATTATAAATTCAAATTTCAATTGAAATTCTGCATTGTAAAAATCTTTAAATATGAATAAGTATGAAAATTAATTTAAAATGCATAAAATGCATAAAAAGCGTAAATGGAATGTTGCTTGCAGGCAAAATATTTCCATTAAAACCACATGTTTTCTAAATTGAAACAAATTGAATTTCGCAATATATTCAATGTCAAAATGATAGAAATGATTATGAGCATTTAGTATTAGAAAATTAAAGTAATTTAAATCTTTTCTGCTTTTTAATTCCCTAATATTTTATGATATTTCAAAGCACAGGATATATTATATTTTTTAATAACAGTAAAATTATTCAGATTGCAAAATCTGATTTATCAAAAGAAAACTACCATATCCAAATTCGTTAAAAAAAATACACAGTACAAAATATAATTTCTAATGCATAATACAAAAAGCAAATCACATCTGCATTTTACACAAAACACAAAAATATTTGATTAAAATTTAGCACAATTATGTTTAAAGCAATTCAAAATATACATTTAAAATATAATATTATGCAGTGTAATTATTTTTAATATAACAATTTTTATACACTTTTCAATAAAATATATTTCTAGTCACCATTTTTGAAATTATCCAATCGTGCTTATCAGAAAACACTTTTAAATTGTTATACCTGTCATAACTTACTTTAAAATTATATGTGTTAAACATATTAAGTTGGATATTAGTATACTTTTCCATTAAAGCTATACTATGAATTTTCAGCTCAATTTTGGCACATTTTGACTTATTTTTTCACCTTCGCCTTTAGCTAGATAATACAAAATAATTGGGAACAGCCATAAACATTCTCAAATTTCATGATAAAATCTTACAAAAATCCACTCCAAAGAAGCACATAATCTACATTACTTTGTGAATAAGCTTTTATTAATTTCTAAAAATTAGTGTTCATTAATTTTATGACAGGATAATAAGGAAGTGGGTGTACATCTCCTCGTGTAATTATTTCCAATCAACTGTTATATTGTGACTCCTTTGAAACAAGCTTTGGTTCGCAGAATTCAGCAGATGTTCACACCTGACATCACACATATATAAATTAGCAATAATAAAAGTGATGCATGGTCCAACAAACCAGATTTATGTCTGGAACGCTTAGATTTCTGTCCGGAATGAAGGCTGTGTAGCAACAACAGTTTCCAGTCACATTTTAATTTCATAAAATAGTTAGCTGAAGTTTTTATTTATTAATTTTTTCAAACTTATTTATTTATTAATTATTATTTTTTTATTTATTTATTTGTTTATTTTTATTTATTTATTTATTTATTTATTTATTTTTGTGTGTGTGTGTGTGAAGGAAAAGGACAGCTGCTTGTTCACCTCTTGACAAATCCAAAGTTGTAAAATTCATTCCAAAAAAAAAAAAAAAAAAATTAAATGAAAAATATGCAGTTGTGCAAGCAATGTTTAGCAAGACAATTATCGCCAAAACTAAACCAAACTGGCAACAGCTGGTGAAAAGAAAATATAGCAAAACAAAAAGAAGGGCTAAGTAGCATGTTTTAACAGGAAAACTACCAATATGAATATAAACCCACACAATAATCAAAAATATTTTGCTTCTACACTTTTCCCATTCCTCATTACATGAAAATACAGTATTTCTGAAGTTTCATCATTCATCAGCAGCTGAGTAGTTAAGACCTCTGAATGCTGGCAGTTTGATGTGGCTGCCTACAGTTTTTGTGGCTTTTCCATCTATAACATGAATACATGACAGTTTTTCATAGAAAGCCCTCCAAGAGAGCATCTTCCTCTTAAATAGATACTCTCACATGCTTGGCCATAATCAAATAATTTAACCTACCCATTGAATATACACATATAATAGAAAAAATTAGAGAATACATCTACCAAATGAATTTTTTTTTTAAAAAAAAGAATACAAGTAAATAGTAAAGGAGAAAAGTTGCTAATTAAATTAGGTTGTCCTCATTTTTTGCCTTGGAAGATGGTCTATTCTTCAAAAGTTTTACAACAAATTGGTTACACTTAACATTATACATAGGGAGGGAAAAATAATAATAATAATAATAATAAATCTGAAAGCTTTCAGATTTTGCATTACACCCAAAGGGACAATTTTTTTTAATGCTTTGTATTACCTTTACTTATTAAATGTCATGTTATCGAACTTAAACTATAGAATTTAATTCAACAGCAATATCACAAAATAATTTTTAAATGAGGATATCTTTAGAATTTCCGATACAGCGTTGCCATTGCTCACTTTGAAATGTTGGAGTCTGTTAATAAAAAATTTGTTAGTGTTACAAAATATGAAATCGATAATAAAACAAATTCCAAATTAGGGCTTCCATATTCAGTGGAGGATTGCATTATTCAAAATTTGATGGCTCTAAATACTGTTGTTTTACCACAATGTGAGAAACATATATACATTTATGCAGATTCTTCATTATTTAATTTCTTTAAATATAACACAGGGCAATAATATTTGGTGGCAACAATTTGAAAAGTGAAATGGACATTTAAAGTTTTGATGCAAAATGCAAAAACAAAATTAATAGCCCTTCTGGGCTAACGCCCTTTGGGCTAAAAATCCTATGTGCAGCTCACAGGTTCAACTCGGAATCAAATCCAGATGCTTAATGTTCATTTGCTTGTATTCATTCAATAAGAGAAAAAGCACACAAAATTTTCTTAATTTAAAGCATTACAACTTCTGATTACATTTAAGACTTGATTAAGACAGTCTAGAGTTTTGGACAATTACTGTTTATGGAAAACACTTTCCTAGTTTTATAAGGGAAAAGAAAAATAACACATTTTCCAAGGTAATGCTTTTATGCACATAAGAGGAAATTGTTCTTTAATTAACTTTAATTAAAATTTTCATTAACTATTAATTGCCATCTATTAGAAAGATAATTATATAGCTACATGGTGATTGCCTACTTGTCCCAGACTGAGCCTGATTACATCTTTTGAATGTACAAGCTCTAATAGCAAGTTCAATAACATCAGTAGTGAAGTTCTACACAGTATAAAGTCTGTAATCCGGACGTCCATTATCCAGAATGATCTATAATCCGGACCTCAAAGCCAAACACTTTTTTTTCTATGCTTTACGCATGCGCGTTTAGCATACACTTTTTTTTGTATGCTTTACGCATGCACGTTTAGCATAAAAAATAAAGCAACTTAAACAACTTACATTGAAAGAAATGTTTAATAAAGTAAACAAATAAATATTCAGCTTTTTTTGTAAATTTTGATACCCTTTAGATCATAATTGCTCTTTATTTCATAAATTATGGTTTCATATTTTTAACTGCATAATTTTTGCATGCCATCTTACCAGATTTAAATTGATGATCTATAATTTGGAAAAACCTTTAATCCGGAATCGCTGAAGTCCCCACGAGTCCGGATTACAGACTTTGTACTGTATAAAAAAAAACTGAACTAGTAATGATGGAAAGTAAAATTAGAATATAGTGTACAGTGGTACTTGGATTGTGAATCACATTTTCAAAACTATGATTACTGATAAAGTATGTTTTTTAAAAGCATGATTGCTATTATTTTGAAAGTATGATTGCTCTTACTCTAAAAATCTGATTACAAATATATAAATATACATCTTAAAGCAATTCTATGAGTGGTCCAAATATATAAGAATTGTTTCATCCATCAGAAAGGGACACTTGTCAGATATGCCAAGTGTTCTTGCATCAAAGTCGAGGGACATTTTCAGAACAACACAAAGTGAGCAAAGGGTTCTGCAGTCCACGATAATTTTATTAAGAATAAAAGGACTTTTTTCTGCTCTTGTAGTGCAACATAACAGTAAAATCAACTTTTTTAGTTGACTTTCAGGTACAACAGAAGATATTTCTGGACCTGGCATAATGGGCTCACTGTTAAGAAGACACTAGAAGAAATCAGTTAGAGACAGACATTAATTCCATTCATTGTTCAGTAAAGACTGAAAAGGTTAATTAAGAGTTTGTTTAATTTCATGTCTAGAAGTACGACTTTACAGATAACTTTAATTTTTATGTGCGATCGCTCCTCAGCATATAAATCTCTCTGAATAAATTTACTTAGTCATATATGTGCCTTTATCCTTTACATATTTATTATGTTTTGATTAGAAATACAAGCAAAACAAAAGCACGTATGTAAAGAACAAAATTATTCATTTTTATTTAAACCTAATAAAGTGCTTACATATCAATTGAAGAAAAAGATAAATGTAAAATACTGACAGAAAAATTGGTACTTTTCTGTTAACAGCACCAAACATAAATTTTGATGCGATATCTAAGTAGATGACAGCAAAACTAATGATACATAAAGCTTCCTGAAAATAATAACTATTTTATACATAATGAATATATTATACATATTGTTTAATATGTGCAATGTTAACAAACTGCAATGATGTTGAACTTGTGCAAATCTCTGATTTTCTGCTTTAAAAGAAAAGAAATCAAAGATTTACACAAAGCCAGCTTTGCAGAAGGTTATGGCAATGAGAATATTAAACATTATATATATATTATGACTGCACAGCTATAGGCTGTTATATTTGATGCTTTGAATCCCATTTCGTGCCCTGAAGCACAGAAAAATTGGAAGAAACGAATCAATGAAAGTTTCCCACCACCGCAAATATTGTGTACGTAAAGAGTTTGCGTTACCATGTTTAATCATATTTTTTCAAATGATTTCTGGCTTTTGAAAGAAAGAGACTCACTATAGAACACTGTTGTGAAATTTGCAAAAAAATATCATTAAGTACAAGGTGTCTGAAATGAAATGTCATGTTACCAGATTAGAACCATCATTTACTCCCACTTCCATCGCAAAAAATTAGTTATAGAATGACATCAAATCATGTACAGTTTTAAGTACTAATGTTGTACCATATGACAATGTAAAAGTTTGGTACTGAAAGATCGAAAACAAGGACTACGACATTCAAGAAGCAAAGAGCTCTGGCTGGCCTACTGATGTTTATGAGGCCCGCCTATGTGAAATTGGGGAAGAAGATCAGTATGCAACCACTCAAGAGCTTGCTAAGGAGTTAGACGTTAGTACTATGTACATTAATCGCACTACACATTGCATAAAAACTTGACATATCGGTTCAATCACTGGGTCCCCGCATGTGCTAACTCAAGCAGATAAGAACAGATGTGTTTGGGCCTGCACTACTCTGCTCAAATATCAATGCAAGGGCAAAATTCTGGACCGGATCGTCACTTGTGATAAAAAGTGGATTTACTTCAACAACACAGGCCATAGAGGGGGCTGCTTTGTGCCTGACCAGCTCGCTAACAGCATCGCAAAGCATAATTTGACTAACAAAATCATCATGCTTTGTATCTGGTTAGATTGCCATGGTATTATCCACAAACAGTATCTGGAAAGAGGTAAAACCCTCAACAGTAAAGTGTAGAGAAAGATGCTAGTCTATGTTGATGGTACTATGAAGAAAAAATGTCGAACTGAGTTCTGGAACAGAAAAGGTCATGTTCCATCAAGATAATACAAGACCACATGTATCTGCATTCACCGGCTGGACTCTATACACACTCGAATGGGATCTTTTGCCACACCCACCATATAGCCCCAAAAATCGCTCCTTTGGATTTATACCTTTTTTCACATCTGTAGCTTTATTTTGCTGGTGCTATCTTCTATTCTGCACAGTACGTCCAGAATGAGGGTAGTCTGTTTTTAGAGCCACTAAGTTTTCTGGGTTACCAGTTTCTAAGTTACCAACTACCAAAATGTTGGCAGAAAATCATAGATTTGGGTGTGATTTCTACTCACACTAAAGGAGCCGCTTTTGTGTTTTTTTTTTTTTTTTTCCTTTATTAAGAACTTTTTTTGGTGGAAAACTTTTGTTACACCAGATATTCCACAATACTAAAGTAAGTACATACCGGGAGACTTGAGCTGCAATACAGAAAGTTTTGAATCTAAAAAGCCACTAAAGGAGCACTAAAGGAGCTGCTCACACTAAAGGAGCTGATTTTGTGTTTTTTTTTTTTTTTTTTTTCCCTTTATTAAGAACTTTTTTTTGGTGGAAAACTTTTGTTACACCAGATATTCCACAATACTAAAGTAAGTACATACCGGGAGACTTGAGCTGCAATACAGAGAGTTTTGAAATCTAAGAGGCCAAGGATTAAATGCATTACTTCTTTCTAAAAGAAACGTGAAACAATTTTTAGAAATTTAAATTAGTAACAAAAGTTTTTACATTTTAAAGACTTTAAAGAATGTAAACTTACTGGAAGAGTTTCAAAATATGCAGAAAACTTTGTTTTACCATCAGGACCATTTTCATTCCTTTGATTGCATGTACTGTTATTCACATGCTTAAAGGCATCTTTTGGATAAAGAAAATTTTTAGGTGCAAGACAATAATTAGGTAAAGAAGGAGGGATTCTATCTTCACCATATAAAATAATACCATCAATTTCACTGTAATACTGTAAATGACTGTGATGAAATTCAATTCTGTAATAGCTGCAAAATATAAGCAATTACACAATGCAGTTACAATTAATAAGCATTAATAAATACTAAAATTTAGTACATGCATTCAAAATCCCTGGACAACAGTTTAAAATAGTGATTTCTAATCTGAAATGCAAATATAAAGTACAACATTTTGAATAAAAAAAACTGAGTGGTGAAACAATGTTTTACTTAAAATAACAAATCCAAAAATTGCACATATAAGTGGAATGTATGCATATATTCTATGACATTACCCATATATTTCTCTGTAGCCAACTGATGAAAGAGTGACTAAAACTCAGAAATACTAGTAGTTTGGCATGAGTTCTATTCTGAAAGCATTTGATAATCTGGTTACATGAGGTTTTTGTATTTTTCTTCATACATAATGTAAATACGTAATGCATCCCTTACAAAGTACTTCATAAAAAATCTCTCTCCATAAGCAAACAGCTCTAGTATGTTTTGTCATAATTAAATAACCTAAACAATTATTTTTGAATGCAGAATAATTCAAAGCTGCAGTTAGGTGTGTTGTATGTTTCTCTACAATTTGCATCGCTCAAAGCAATCTTGTAATTTCTTTCTATTTTCCCATGTTATTTGCAAAACTTAACACCCAGAAACAATAATAAACTAACCAAAAAAATCACTAATACGAAAACTATAATTAAATGTTTTTTGTCTACTCATGAAATATTTTAGAATTCACTTTATTTTGTTAGCTATGAATAAATAATCCATAAAAATGATTTATGTTCAATATACTCACATTTCCAAAGGAAATTTTAAAATAACAAAAAGGGTAGCAAAATTATCACCTTCTTTACAAGAATTATTGTACCGGCTGATTACTCTATAAAATATTACTTTTAAATTTTACATTTCAAGATACACATGTAAACATTCTAAATATACTGCTAGTCATTAAAATTGCTACAAGAGGAGGGAAAGCAAAGAGCAGAATCTTATGCATCATGTGTGCAGCATAATGGAAAGAAGACATGGTTAAATTTGCACACGGTTTGGGGAATACAGAGTGCAGAAACAGAGAGATGTTACCTTTGGCAACAACAATGGCTGTCTACATTGAACTGGGCTTGGATGATAGATATGGACACTTCATTCCATGTAAATTCAACTCCATTAGAATTAATCAAATGTAGTGGTATCAAGTGTTGGCGTGCAAGGTCTCTTGGCAACCCATGACCAGATGTTCACAGTGGATGAGAGATTTAGAAAATATGCTAGCGAGCGCATTCTGAACAGCATGGGTAACATGTGGTTACATATTTACCTTGTTGAAAAATGATATCATGCAGGCCTTAAAGATAGGTCACAGGCACAGGCATCAAAATTTAATACATCAAAAAGGTAACAACGGCTGTTTATGTTATCAGTTACACAAACAACAAGTGATTTGGATGTGTACTCAATGCTATTCCATACCAGCATACCAAGTGCTGGACTTAAATGACGATGGTGAATGCAAACTGGCAATATTTCTTCTATTCAGTACCTCCACACACAGATACTTCCATCATGATGCTGTAGACAGAACTTGGATTTGTCTGAAAAGACAACATATTGCCACTCTTGTGTCCAGTGTCATCATTCATTGCACCACTGTAGATATGCTTGTTCCTACTGTAGTCTAAAGGGAAGTCATAATAATGATTGGCTGACAATCTAGGATGCTGCAGGTGCATTTCACTCTTCATACAGTCACTTGTCATCCTTAGACAAGTTCTTGACTTAGGGCATGCGACTTTATAGCATGAACCTGCAAAGCCAACAGGGCAATATGCCTGCCCTCTTAGGCATTAATGGATTGGACTACTGGAATTTTATATTGCATTTCCTGGACCAAGTAATTCCATATTTGCCTGATAGTCAGAAGATCCTAAGCAACAGTTTCAGGATTCAGGAAATGATAACTGCATACAGTTAAATTCTGCTACATGCTGGTAGCAGATATCCCTTTTTAAATGAGGCCAAATAGGGTTTTAAACAAACAATCATCATTCAAATGCTATTTCTAAATAAGAAACTTGTTGGGCAATTTTCCCATTTATACACACTGTAGATGGCATTATTCATACCTGCTTTGTATGCATTCATTTGCATATCTTAGCATGTGGTACTTTTCATGAAAATTTGACATTTGCTACATGCCACCTTCATGGTGTAACAATTTTAATAGTTAGCAATGCACATTAAAAATTTCAACATATAACCATAAACGCAAAACTATATGCAATGCACATAACTTTATTAATAATGCATTACACTCATGCTTAACTGTGACTGCATTTTATTTTACAATATGAAGTACTTACTCTGTTAAAAAGTTAATGCATTCAAATTCAACACTGAAACAATGTGATTTATCAGGAAGAAGAATTTGTGGTGCTCCTTGCCATAAGATAACCCACCTACTTAAATGAAAAAAATTCCAAAAATGTATAATATCAAAAATACTAGCACAAATACTATTTGTTTACATTTTATATTCTTTCCTTTTTCTGCATACTGCTACAAAATGAAACTGGAAAATCCATACTCAAGTATAATTAATAAAGTATAGCTAATAAATACTTAAATAATGTGTACAATAAAAAATATAAAAAATTAGGCAATTTTTTATATTTAAATCAATGCCTAAAAGAAATCAAATTTTGCTTATTGCTTTTATTTTTTTAATTAATAAACACTGTCCTAGATAAGAATGAGTCAAAGAAGCTGGTTAAGTATAGGGTGAGGCAAGAAGCATACATTTTTCATGTTGTAATGGTAAAAATAATTTATTTCCATTCAAAACAACTGTAATTTTGTTTAAACATTAATAAAACATAACATTTAAACATTAATATTAAGTCACATATAATATAGTAATACATTTAATGAAAATTATTGAGAATACTATAGAGTGCTTCTAAGACTGTAAGCAAAAAGAAGCAAAACTTCTAAGTTAAAAAAAAATAATCAAATACCAACAGCAGCAATTTAATAAGTTTCAAAATACAATAAAATCTCTTAATACCCAGTTATCCAGTAATATCAAAATAATGGCAACTTTAAGTCTAAATTTAAATCCAAAATTCAGACACATAAGATAAAATGCAATGGGCTAAAAATCTGAAGATTTAAATGTGGAAAACATTTGTGTTATGTTTCTGCCACCCAACACAGAAAGCCTCATTCAAACCAATGAACCAAGAAATTATCTAGAATTATAAAGATGAATAACTGATACCTTTTTATGTATCGATGAAAGTAATCTCCATGAAGTACCATGATTTTCAAAAACACTTTATGCTGAAAGATGTCAAGAACATTATGTCACTACTGGTATAAGCTTGTGATTATGTTCATACAGGACAAGATGATTGAGAAAAATTCTGTTGTCTTTAAAAAAATCTTAGATTTAACTACATGTTTGGCGAAGGTTAACACTAGTGAAGAAGAAGTACAAACTTGGATGGATCTAGACAATTCTGCTCCTGTAACATTTTCTCAAGATGATGATGAAATAATCTAGACATATACTGAAAACAAAAACAGCGATGAGCAGGCAGGCGACGATAAATATGAAGACAATACATAAAACAAAAGAGTTAAATGGAAGGATGCTTATGAACAATATTAGACTATTATCACACTTGTCAATAAGTATTCATCTGTGTCAGTAAATAATGTTATAGGTAGCTTTATTGCAGATATTACCTGCAATGTATTAAACACTGGCATTGCACAGAATTCCTGGAATTTTTAGGCAAAGTATGAACTATGAGATTTATTATATAACTTCTTTAAGCATGCTATAGAATGATAAAAGCTATTTAAGCGAAGTATGGAAAAAGATCATGATAAGGCTATTATTTAAAAGACATCCATATCACAAAAACAAAAAATGTTATTTTGAAAGAATAATTAAAGAATGCCATTAAAAAACTTTTATTCAAAATGTATAAAGAAAAGTGAAAAGTGTAAAAAAGAAAATTTATGCCTTTCTTATTAAAGAAAACGAAATTTTCATATAAAAAATAAATTAAAATAATATACTTAATGCAACATGATAAGTTAGAACGACATTTTTGAATTACACTTCTTTGTTTTTTCATGCGAAGACATTTCATATCTTGGCCCTTTGCTTTATAAATACACTTGACAAATTTTTGGTCACTTCTACTGAACTGAGTAACTGTAACTGACTAGATAGGAATTTCATAGTTAGGAATATCTTCATTTCTAAGCAAATTCTTAGGGGTTAAAAAGAATTGCAATCTTGCAAACAGCTGTTTTAAAATTCCTTCAGAAATTCCAAGTCTTTCAAAACTGTCCTCTATCACACTCATTACAAAAGCCAATATACACGGTGGACATAAAAAAAACTTCCTTGATATATGAACCCCTAGCTACCTTTCCCCTCAACTAATCAAAATAGAATTTCAGATATTCTTATTTGAAGATAGGCACTCAAGAATATAAGGATTTAAAACAATAGAGCTCTCATGGTTATTGCTACAGTGAAAGCATTTCAAAATTTTCAAATGGCAACACTGACATTTTTCCTGCGCAAAATGATCAGTGTACCGAAAAACAATAAATGGCATGGGAACAGTTAAGACATGATGAAAATTACCAGTGTAAAATATCCGCAAAGAAGAGCATTATAAAGGACTGATGACAATGCAGAGAGGAGGTGCAATGATATACTTAGCATAATTTACAAGGATACACAGTAAAAGCACCTATCACAGAACATCATGTGCAAAGTATTACTTGTGGAAAATCTTTAAGAAGCAGTGTGGAAAGACTGTTTTTTCAATTAGATGTTCAAATGAAGATGATACTTATACAGAAACAATGAGGTGAACTGATAAAGCTGTTTTATCCGAATGGGAAAATGCTGCCAAAGCTGTGCAAGTTAAACAGCAAAATCATTAGCTATGATGAGGTCCATGTACATGATTTGGCAAAAAAAGTGAAGAAAGTGCATGCATATGTGGTAGACCATGATCTGGATGATTACATGTTCCTGTTGTTAAGTTGTTAAGGAAGTGTATAATATGATTACTGCAAGAAAAGTTGCCCACAGTTTGGACTTCCATGTTCGGTTCTGCAAACGTTCCCTTATCAATTTCAGCGTGTGCAGATGTTGCAACCTGGAGACAAGCAACAGCATTTCAATTTCGTGAATTTTTCCCTCATCAGATATTATGAAAATAGCAGATGGCTGCTGTGGATATTGTAACTGGATAAGGTGCATTTTTCCTTAACTGGTTATATAAATTCTAAGAGTTGCATTCACTGGGCTGATGAAAATCTTCACGATGTAGCACCAATGCCTTTACACAAAGCTAAAGTGACTGTGTGCTGTAGCATTGCAAGAATATTCATTCTTGATCCATACTTCTTCAAAGAGATCATTTCCACAGTTATGAAAATGTGCTCCATTGGTAGTGCTTGGCATTGTAATATCATTAATGGCATTGTATGGATGCAAGATGGTGCTCCTCTACACGTAGCCAGATGTATTAGGCAAGTGCTGCAACAACACTTTGGAGATGGAGTCATCTACCGTAACTTTGCAGTTTTATAGCCACTATGATTCCCTGACCGCATTACTATGGATTTCTGTTTCTGGGTTTATCTGAAATCTCATGTGTACACATTAAATCCATGAAATTTGTCAGAATTGAAAGATGCCATAAAACTTGATGCTAGTTTCTTCTTGCATTGTTACGTTCATCATTGTTGTCAATGATCTCCTGCATGCAATGCATTATCGTCTGCAAAGATGGGTAAGTTGAAAACTTGCCATTCCAATAAAAGTTTTTTCCTCTCCTCTGTGTTGTCATTGGTGCTTTACAGTGCTGGTCTTTGAAAATATTTTATGCCTGTAATTTTCATCATACATGTATCATTCCAATTCCATTTATGATTTTTCAGTATGCTGATTAATTTGTGCATGAAAAATTGGGTACTGCCAAAAGAAAATTTTGAAATTTTTTCACTGTAACCATAACTGTGAGAGGTCTATTATTTTTAGTCACCACAATCTAAAGCATGTATGTTCAAATAACAATACCAGGCTGCTAGGGGTTCATCTGCATTGTATGAATCCCCTTGTCCTTTGTCGATGTCTGGAACAGGAACTCTCACAGTAGTTCCCAAAGAGGAAGAGGTTCCCTCCCCTTAAATTCATTTTCATTTCCCCCCTTTTTTTTAAAAAAATTATTTCATTCTTTGCTGGCTTGTCATTTGACATTCTACAATAACTAATTCAGAAAGTCAAACAACAAAAAATCAGCGTTAATTTACAAAACTTTCACAGGACTAGTTTCGATGGTTTTACCGAACCATCATCTTCAGCTGCAAAACCGCAAATGAACAAGATAGGAAATAATGTTTAGATAAGATAAGAAAGCCTGGACAAGAATAAGCAAGTGGCGCCATCTGTTGGCGAAACCAGAACTAAAACATAATTTCTCTAAAAGCCGAAGGCAAATTTGGATTGGAATTAGGATCGTTAACTAGAACAGAAAGATTTTTATGAATGTGAAATGCCTCTAGAAAATCCAGTTCTCCAATGGAAGATGTTTTTGAATAATTTTGGCAGCAGAAAAAATTGAAAGTGTGATTTTCGGACCAACAATGTTGAGCAACAGAAGACTTCTGTGTTTCCTTTTTTTCTAACATATGCCTCATGTTCTTTGACGCGAAATTTTAAGGCTCTCTTAGTTGGCCAATGTAAATTAAACCGCACTGGCAAGGAATCCTATAAATACCCCAGGAATTCATATCCGGAATGGGGTCCTTGAGTATAGAAGTTGGAATTTTATTGATGGGAGAGTAAACAACCCGAAAGTTAAATTTCTGCAAAATATGTGCAACTTTATAGCTAATTGATGGAAAGAAGGGAATGACAACAGAATTTTTATAATCTCCTAAAATAAGAGTGTGGCTTTTAGTGTGTTGAGATGAGAATTTTTTAACTGCTTGATTAATAATGTTGGGTGAAAAGCCCCTGTCAATAGCTATTGTTTTAAATAATTTAGTTCTTCATCAAGGGCTAGTTTGGAGGAGCAAACTTGAAGAGCACGGAAAACATAGGAATAAAATGAAGCTAACTTTTGTTTAGTCGGATGACATGATTTAAAGTGTGGTGGAAGGCAAACCGATGAAGGTTTACGGTAAACTGTAGTACTGAAGTTGGATGTGTTACGTGTGACCAGAATGTCGAGAAACGGAAGAGAATTGCAAGTCTCAAGTTCAAAAGTGAACTGAATAGCAGGATCAATGAATTCATTGTTGAAAGAACTCTATTTAAATCATCTTTATTACTTCAAACAGGGTAAAAGTATCGTTACTAGCGGAACCATGCGGGAAGTTTAAAGTTTCAAACAATTTTGATTCATAATAATGCATGTAG